CCCTTCTAGCTGTTCCTTCGCTCCCAAGAAGACTCTGCCTGACTCCTAAAACAGGACCCTACAGTAGCTGTTCCTTTGTGTCCTGGGTCCTCTCGGCTGTTAAAGCTTACTTCAATACATGTGACTTTTGATAAAAATGGCATTTCTAAGTGTTTTCGTAAAGACAGAATTTCTGAGACATTTTAAAATTTATGTAACATGGTAAATTCGGTTGCAGGAAGATGCTTGGTGTGAACACCATTAAATATATATAGATTTAGAATTTTCAGTAATATATCATTATGGCTGACGCAAACCCTACTCTGAGCTAGAAATGTTAGCTAGCTAGGTAAAGTCTTGTGCAGCTTGTTGAAAGCCCCGGGTTGATCCCCACCGCCATATAAGCCAGGCATGGTGGCACACATCTGTGATCCTAACACTTTGGAGGGACAGGAGGGCCAAAAGTTCAGTGTTTATCCTTGGCTGCAAGGCGATTTGAGGGCTAGCCTGAACTATGTGAGATCCATCCACCCAACCATCCATCCATCCATCCATGCATCCACCCTCCCCCCCATCCTTCCTTCCTTCTTTCAGTACTTTTTTTTTTTTTTTTTTTCCCAAGACAGTTTCTCTGTATAGCCCTGGCAGTCCTGAGGCTGGCCTTGAACTTGGAGATCCACCTACCTCTACCTCCCAAAAGCTGGGGTTAAAGGTGTATGCCACCACACCTGGCATCAGTACTTCTTTAGAATGCACTGAAGTTTTAAATAAATCTAACTCTTGTAAACAAGATTGCCTTTCACTGTGAATAATTACTAATGTATGTGTTTATTGTTTCCAAAGCTGAGTTGTTGAGATCATCCTGCAGAAATCTGGTGAAAATACTTTGGTGGTAATTGTAAGTGTTACAGCTCCAGAGGGCAAGATAACCTGACTTGTCAAAAGTCAGACTACACCTGCAGCTGTGAGGAGAAGGTATCCTGGATACCTACAGCTGTGAGGAGAAAGGTATCCTGACTTGTCAGGAAGTCAGGCTTACCTGAAGCTGGGGTCCAGTGGGGGGATGGTCTCCCCGCAGGATGTGGCAATTCTGCTCATTACAGCTGAGCTCTGCTCTGCTTCCCTAAGGGGGTTTCCCAGCAGAGAAATCCATTGCTTCTCTGCTCCACTCCACTTGGGAGTTTCCCAGCAGAGAATCTGCTCTGTTCTGGTGAAAGAAGGTCTTCACCCAAAACTCTTTGAAGAGATTTATTTGAGAAGGAGGAATCCAGGAGAGTGGCTGCCCCTGCCAGGGTGGAGAAGGGCAGCTTCCAACTGAAAAGGCACAGGGCTTATATAGTGCTACTTAGGGGCGGAGTTTTCCAAGGGAGAAGATTTTCAGGCTGGGAATTGGTCGGATTTCAATCTCCTTGAGCTTGGACAAGCTCAGATTGGCTAGATTTTGTGCTCAGGGATTGATTGGTTGGTTTCATGCTCAGTTGGTCAGGGACAGATTTGGCTCTGGTTCCAGGGCCAAAGTGTGTTTGTTTCACTGGCTCTGGTTCCAGGGCCAAAGTGTGTTTCTTTGACTGACCCTTTTACCCTACAGTAATACTTGACAGTAGTAAGGTGGCATCTGTTGCACACCTGAGTAGCAAGGCTTGCAGAGAGGAAAGACACCAGATAATTCACTCTGGAAGCCAATGCATGTTCAGTCATAGCTCGGTACTTGGAATGGACACGCTCTGTACCTGCAGGAACTCTGTAGGTGGTGCAGAGAACAACCCTTTTTTCCTCATGGACTGTCTTATGAACAAGATTAACTTAATGAGAGAACAGATGTGGTTAGGATGGTATAGCCCTCAAAAATTGAACATGTTAGAAGAAAACTTGTTTGACTATGAATATGCATGAAATTAGGCTGACTGATTTTGACTGTGGTGTTTTATAGACTTTACACTTTTCAAAACAAAATATAGTTTTTAAATGAAATAAAAGGCAAAAGATTTATATGATCTGGGAAGTCTCAATGAGTAATTGTCTTGATTAGACTGGCCTGTCTGTGCAGGATTGTCTTGATCATGTTATTGGAGATTAGAAGACAAGCTCAATGTGGGTGGCACCATTCCCTCAGAAAGGGATCCTGAACTAACTGTGCAAGAGTATAATGCTTAGTGTGAGCTGAGGGAAGGTATGGACATATCTGTTGACTCTCTTCTGTCTATGGACTTAATATGGCTATTTTTCTAAAGGCCCTGCTGTTGTGACTTCCCTGCTATGATGGATCATAACCTGGAATTTTGACTAATATACCTCCTCTCGCACAAAATGAAATTAAGAGTTTCACTTTTATACAATTATCCTTCTAAGTAATTCTTTGTTTGGGACAAGCAAGATGACTCGGTGGGTAAAAGTGCTTACTATGCAAGTCCAGTAACCGTAGTTTGGTCCCTGGAACCCAGGATAGAAGGAGAGAACTTACTCCTGAAAGTTGTCCTCTAACACCTACACACTTAATGTAGGATGTGCCCACCAACATACACACATAGACACAATAGTAATAATTTCAATTCCTTTTAAATTTATTTCTATTTGACTTCTTTATTTTGGTTTTTTGAGACAGAGTTTCTCTGTGTCACTCTGGCTATTGTGGAACTCACTCTGTAGACCAGGCTCGCCTCAGACTCAGAGATCCACTTGCCTCTGTCTTGAGTGCTGGGATTAAAGACATGCACCACCACTGCTGGCTTCCTTTTTACTTTTTGAGATTATAATTTAATTATATTTCTTTCTTATCTTTCCTCCATGCCCTCTGATATATCCTTCCCTGCTCTTTTTTCAATTAATGTCCTCTTTTTTCACTAATTGTTTCTTGCATGTATGTTATGTATATATTATGTATACACTATATGTTGTATATGTGTTATATGTTATGTATATACAATATATATCTTCCTAAATATAGCCTGTTGAATCCGTGTATTACTTGTATATATGTTTTCAGGGCTGGCCGATTGGCACTGGACAACTAATTGGCACGCTGTTTCCTCAGTTGCCTGTAGTCCTTTGCATTGGGTTGAGGCCTCGTGGGCTTTTCCCCATCCAGCCTGGCATGTTCATTGGTATCATCCCCCCTCCCATTGGGGTGGTCATCTTGGTGAGGCTTTGTGTGTATAGATTCTGGTATTGATAGAAGTCAGTCTCACAGCAAACTGAATCCCTCTTTTGAAATGATCTCTGGCCTTAGGTGGAGCTGCAGTTGTATTGTGGATGTATCTGTCAGAACAGGGCTCTACAATTCTGTATTTTTAGTAGTTGTGGTTTTCTGTAGTGGTCTCTGACTGTTGCAAAGAGAGGTCTCCTTGATGAGGGGGCGAAGACTACTCTTACCTGTTGGTATAAGGACAAATGTTTATGGATTGTAGTCAGGAATTATGGTAGTTTAGTAAAATAGTGGTTGTAGATTCTCCTCCAGTAATCATGATTTCACTAGTACTGCGTAGTTAACTAGGTTTCCAGTACCAGGCATGGTATCCTCTTGTTGAGTAGGTCTTAAGTCCAGTTAGAGAGCATTGGTTACTGCCCAGGTGTGCATGGCACTACTCCACCCACAGGATTATCATGCCGTGCTGGTTGCTGATGTGGTTCATAGATACCATAGCTGGGTAAGACTGTTATCGTCTTCATTTTTTAAGTAGCATTAAGATGGCTCAGTTGATAGAGCACTTGCCCTAAAAGCCTGACAACCTGACTTTGATTCCTAGAACCCACATCAATATAGGAGAGAACCAGTTCCACATCATAATCCACAAAATAATAATAAATAAAAAATTTAAAATAGTAGTGCATAGATGCCCGTGTTTAGGAAACTGTCTTGATGCAGGAGTACTGGATTCCACTTCATTCTTGGGTGAATTTGAAGCTTACATTGGTTTTTCTGTTTATAATCAGTAAATTCAGTTTAGAAAATATTATTAGACTGGGTGTGGTAGTGCATTGCCTTTAATGCCAACACTTCAACACTTGAAAGCAAGAGGCAAGTAGATCTCTGAGTTTAAGACTAGCCTGACATACACATTGAGTTCCAGGCCAAACAGAGCTGAATAGTGAGACCCTTTTTCTAAAAGAAAATACCATGGATAATCATGCTGTTTCTTCACGATTTGCCAAGTTCTGGAGGGGCTATAAATAATAGTCATTGTACTTAGAAAGGTTCTGGTCTGGTAGGTTTGGTGATGGTACGGAAACATCTTATTGCAGAGGAATATGTTGCTGAAGTCCTTTGTAAAAGAAGATGGGAAGTGTATGATTGGAGGCAACCAGAATGGTGAGTGCTTACCTGGCACCATCAATAATACAACATAGCACAGTGGCTAAATTCAGGTGAAATTAAAAATGGAGTCCTCGTCTACCTTGCTGTGAGACTTAGGACACATGACTTCACCAGGCCAGGATCATTTTCCTGTCTGGTCTGAGCAGTGGGAAACAGCCCTCACAGATCTTGCAGCAATGGTGTGTGAAAGAAAGGAGACAGATTTTCAAGTAAAGTTCTGGCCACTAAGGAGCCATTAAGATTTTTTGGCACTGTGGCATGATGAGATCTGAACCATAATGGGCTTTTGTTATGTTTATTTTTACTGTTGATGCATAAAAGACTGTTCTGTTGTCTTTTGAGGCAATGGATTTTTATGTATATGTAACCCTTCATCAGCACCATGATCAAAATAAATTCATCCATCACGTTGAAGCTTTTTGTAAAATCTTTCAAGTGGGAAGTCTAACCTGGAAGGGGCGGGAGAGTAGAGCAAAGGAGCATCTGGAAGAGAAGAAATCATTTCAGAGACTGCTGCCAGGCCAGGAGAGAGAAATGAATGATGTCAGGACCTCGGTGAATTGAGCTTTCCATAATACCTTCCCAATGGATAGTGGGCTGCTATGTGCCACAGGAAACATGTTTTCCTTTATGAGAGTCTTTATTTTAAACTAATTTTCTCTCTCTCTTCCCCGCCCCTCTTCTACTCCCCACCCCCGTTCCTATTTAGGGCCTCAAAGATAACCCTTCTGCTTCTGGGACGTCCAGCCTAACGGCCACCAAACCATTGCTTCGTCCAAGAATCACAAGAATCTGCCTCAGGGACTTGATATTCTGTATGGAACAGGAAAGAGAGCTGAAGTATTCTCGAGCCCTATACCTTGCCCTTCTGAAGTGATCACTCCATTCCTCCGTCCAGACGCTCACTGTTTACTGCCAAAGAAGATATAGAGAGCATTGTTGCACTATCCTGAAATCTACTCTGGAAAATAGTCACCAGTATGGAAGACCACTGTTTACACTGACAAGCTTTTTCTTTTTAAACTACATCTTGTCTGTATGTCCTGTGGGTTCTTGCAGATGAGAATTCAGATACTTTCTGAAAGTCAGTACTAAGTATACTTTATACAGAAGTATCACCTACCCACTTGCATTTAATTACAGCAGCGAGGGGCTCCCTCTTACAACCTGTGTTTCTGTTTGTTTTGTTTTTCACACCGTAGCAATAAGGTGCCCCCTCCGCTACAGGCTGCATCTAAATGTAGGAGAAAGGAAGAATCAGAGTGTATCCTATACTGAACCTGTCTCCTAGTGTTAGATCTTATGTCTGCAATTAGAATACTTAGCTAACTGTGACAGTTACTTTCTGGAATTGAAGTGTGACAAGCCACAGAGTAGGGTCAGTATCAACTTGGGCTAGTTGAGCTAGAATTACAAACACAGCCAATGGGACCGTTTATGCCTGAGGCTGCTGACTGTCTGGCTCCCCACACTGCACTGTTCATGATAGCTAGTGAGGGGCATCCTTGTCAGCTAAGTTTTAAAACTGAAGTTGCTACTGATATACCTCACTAAAAATGGAAGAGCTAGAAAGTACTAGAAAGGAGTATGAGGCCTTGCATTCAAATCGACAAAAGAAAAATGAAAATGCATTACGAAGCAGATGTGTGCATCGTGTGCCCAAGGAGGGTGGCTGCACTTGGAATGCCAGAGCTGGTCTTTGTTTTGCTGATGGCATAAATAAACAAACAAACAAACAAACATAGCTTGTAGGTCAACCAAAGAAGAAAACCTGGCAAACATTTACAGTATTTCAAAAGAGGACAGTTTTTATATTATTTTAATTCCCAAGTGGAATTCTTTCTTTCTTTTGTAAAGAATCTCTCAGTTACCCTATGTTTAAGCATCTAGTGCTTTTCAAAACTTGTAACTGATGGCCAGAACATTCTTGGACACCCTTCGATTTGTCTACTTACGAGGTGCTCTCAGTGTCTTACCCGTGGGAGTGTGGCTCTAAATGTGAACAGCACATTGTGTACCACTCTCTGAGGAAGCTGCTGTTCAAAGCACCCCCCCACGCCAGTTTTTAAATCTACCTGGGCAGGTAATAGCTGACAAAAAATAATAGTGGGATTGAAATCACATGCTGCAAGAATGCCACACCCTCCCAGGAGATAATTAAAGGAAAATGCTAGAGGAAGGGTTCAGGGGAAACACCTCTAGTATATCACTCTCCATCCTGTTCTTCCCACAGAGTCTGTTATGGCCATATTCTATACTGTTGTAAGAGTTTAATTGGCCACAATTTTTGTTTTAGCAAGTTATGTAAAATGCCGTAAATTATGTATATGTTAAAAAGTAACTTAAGAAATCTATACCCAAAGTTGTTTTGTATATTTAAATGCTTAGCTTTATTTTTCTGTAAAGTGCACTGTGCTCCCACATTTATGTAAACTTATTGATCAGATGTTTAAAATTATTTCAGATCACCATTAAAGTAATTATTTTATGATTAAAAACAACAACAAAACACACAAACTTTGCTCAGTCACTGACTTTGCAGCAGTTTTCATTAGTAGCCAGTCCCTGAAGGACTCAGATCTGCCTGGCAGTGAGTCTATTATTTACTTTGGACTATGAACATTTGGTTCTGGAATCTCACTTAGATCTAGGTTGCTTTATCACTTCCTTTGCAATAGTTGTAAATTTGCCTGTTGTATGACTCACAAAGAAAGCTAAACATCGTTACTATAGAAGTTTTTCTTGATCCATTGAGTTTTTCTTACCAAGAATGTTTTTCAAAATTTTTAATATAAAACCTTTGTGATATACACATGTGTGGTGTATGTATGGGTGTCTTCCTCTCTCACCTCTGTATCTTATGTTTGAGAACAAGGTCTCACTGAGTCTGGAGCTCACTGATTGGCCAACAGCCCCCTGGATCTTCCTGTCTCCACCTGTGAGCTCTGGGATTTCTGGAGCGTACCAGCATGGCTTTTCACATGGGGGTTGGGATCCACACTTGGGACCTTACCCTCACACAGCAGGCACTCTAGCCACTGAGCCAGTTCCTGCGTCCTTAATGTACGTTTGAAACTTGTGGAGTGTATATTACACAGAGAAAAACAAATGTGTGTATACAAAATATTCTTCCACACAGTTGACAAAATGGAGGCTTTGAGGTGGATTTGATTTCCAGATGCGTTGTCTTTAATTTGCAATGTGAGTGCTATGGATCCAACTCAAGCACTCTTACCCGCTGAATCACCTTCCTAGCCAAAATAGTCTCCCTTTTTCAAAAGCAACATTGAAAAGTATCATATATATATATATATATATATACACACACATACATACATATATATATATACATATATATATAGTGTGTGTGTGTGTCTGTGTGTGTCTGTGTATGTCTGTGTGTGTGTTTACAGGTATGCACGTGTGGAGGTCAGAGGACAACTTGCACAAGTTGGTCTTTATTATGTGGACTGGAGATCACTTCAGGTCATCAGGCTTGCCAGCAACTGTCCATAACCTGCTGATCCATTTCACTGGCCCAACAAGCACTTCTCAAACCTAGAAAACCCTTCAAATTTATACATGGCATGTTTTGTCTCATTAGAATTTTGTCAAGAGAAATTTATTTAGAATTAAGACTTTAGTATAAAGACGGTTCGAGCAGAAAACACAGCCATGTTTTTAGGAAAGTACAGGACTTAGGTACAGGCTGACTTGGACTTTATTACTTTGTCTGTTGTAGAATGAATCAGTTGAGTGTGTCTGCCTACAAATTTGCCTTCAAAAGTTCCAGTTATATTCTGCAGGGGGAACAATTATATGTGTCACATGTCTGAATATAACCTACTAGAGAGCTTTTACATTGTACTATTCTTCTTGTGATACTCTGTCTCACTTGTCAATGTCTGAGACAGGCTTCTGGGAAAGCCTGTGAAGGATTATCTTGATTAAGTTTATTGCCTAATTTGCAACACACACAGCTTGTCTCCTAGGTTCAAGCTGGCTCCACTCTACAGCAGGTTCTTGGTGGTCATCCCATGGTACTGACATCTTCAAAATGCTGGGATCTCTGCAACTTGCCTGTAACTTTGCCAGTTAGCCTCTCGTGGCTCTCCTCGAGGACTCTAATGCTGCCACATAGTGCCAGGCCTCAACTTCTCTCCATGAGACCTTCTATCCTGGGTCTCTGCAGCAACTAAGTCTGTGCCATCGCCAGTGGCCTCTCCTCAGGGACTGTAGCCCCACCACACAGTACCAAGACTCAGCTGCTCTCCATCAACACTTCACACCTTTAAAACCAGTATTACTGAGTGACTCTTACACTACCTACATCAGCTAACAGCATATGATACATCCCTGGATGCCTCTGGAACACAGCTTCTGTGTGCCGACCCAGAGGAAACACTTCCAGAAGATGTCACCTCAGTGATGCCAGTCTCCTCTTAATCACTGCTGATTTCTCAGCTCCAGTTGACCAGTATCAATTGTCACAGCAAAACAAAGGTTTCCCGTTAGTGGCTCTGGTCTCTTATAAATCACAGCCAATTCTGTTGGCTAGTTCTATGTGAACTGGACACAAGCTACAGTTCTTTTTAGAAAAGGGAACCCCAACTCAGAAAGTGCCTCTACCAGGATTGCCTGTGGTGCACTTTCTTGAATGATGATTGATGTGGGACAGTTCGGCTCTGCGTGGGGCCACCTCTGGACTGGCCCTGAGTGCTATAAGAAAGCATGCTGAGCAAGTCAGTAAACAGCACTCCTCTGGCCTCTGCTTCAGCTCCTGCCTCCAGTTGCTGGCCTGTTCCTGCCTTGACTTCCCTCAGTAATGGACTATGTGATATGGAACTGTAAACTGGAATAAACCCTTTCCTCCTCCAACTTACTTTTTCTCATGGTGTTTTATCACAGCAATAGAAAGCCTGCAACAGTTACCTTGGGCAAGTTATTTTACTTTACTTTTGTTTCCTGTCTGAAAAAAAAAATACTTGGCCCATGGGGTGGCTGTGAGAATTCAGTAAATGATTGTGATTGTGTGTAAACCACTGAGACCAGCATATCACACATTATAGCAGGAAACAATGTGGGGGTAATGCTTGTTATTTGGAGATCTTAAGTGTCACAGCTTTACATCCTGCCTAACTGGACTTGGCTAAATGCACAACCCTTTGCGTATTATTTAAAAGCTAAGGTTTCCAGATTCCTGTGTGTGCCATTGAGACTGGTGCAGGAAGCTTTAAGACGGCTATGACTAATAACAGAGGGCCGTTCAACAGGCTGGTGTGCGTTCTCTCTCTCTCTCTCTCTCTCTCTCTCTCTCTCTCTCTCTCTGTGTGTGTGTGTGTGTGTGTGTGTGTGTGTGTGTGTGTGTGTGTGTGTGTGTTTTATGAGGACTGAACTCAGAGTCTTGCCATATGAAGGTTCTACCACTGAGCTTCATCCCTGTATTAGCTACAAAATACCCAACCAGAGGTCACTTAAGGGAGGAGGGTTTATTCTGGCTCATGGTGTAAGAGATAAGCAATCCATCAAGGTTGGAAAGGCATGGCAGCAGGAATGTGAAATAGATGGTCATGTGGTGTCTGCAGTCAGAAAACGGGTGAGTGCTAGTTTTCAGCTCATTCTTACTCAGTCCAGGACCCCCAGCAAGTGGTGATGTAGCCCACATCCAGGATGGCTCTTCCCTGCTCAGTTTAAAACTTCTGAAAATAGTTTTATAGACACACCCACAAGTGTGTTTCCATGGTGAATATAAGTCCAATCAGGTTGACAAGTTAAGATTAATTGTCACAATGCTTATCCACTGTTCTGGATAGTTTTATGTCAACTTGACACAAACTGAAGTCATCTGAGAGGAGGGAACTTCTATTAAGAAAATGTCTCCATAATATCAGACTGTACACAAGCTTGTAAGGCAATTTCTTAGTGATAGATGTAGGAGGGCCCTGCCCATTGTGGGTGGTGCCATCCCTAGGCTGGTGGTCATGAGTTTATAAGAAAGCAGTCTGAGCAAGCCAATAAGCAGCACTCCTCTATGGCCTCTGCATTGGCTCCTGCCTCCAGGTTCCTGCCTGGCTTGAGTTCCTGTCTTGGCTTCTCTTGGTGGAATGTGATTCTGGAAATATAAGTCGAATAAATCCTTTCCTCCCCAAATGCTTTTGGTCATGGTGTCTCATCACAGCAGTAGAAACCATAACTAAGATATCCACATTTCTGACTTTGTTTTCTAAGTTTCCTGTAGGGTTGGGAGCAGTAATTGCCATTCCTTCCAAAATTTTAATTGAAAACATTATAGAAACATATAGGGCACATTGAAGCAATATAAAATGGCACACCGAAATTCTTCTCCTTAAGGTTCCCCAGCACATCCATTCCCTTCTCAAGATCTGTCCACTTTTATCAGTTTCATACATATCACTCCACAAAGTTCCTGTGTTCTTACTCTCTTACACAAGCATATGACAGCTTACTGACTTAACCGATTTTCCCAGTTCCATTCTTAATTCCACCTATCGTTTTCCAGACCAACTGTGCTAGTAGAATCTTGCTGTGATCTTTAGGGGGAAACAAACTTCCCTTGAGGGATTTACTTTATTTACTATTCTGTAAATAGTATGTGTTTGTTTACTATTTGTAAGTTACACTGTTTCACGAGAGAAATCCACCGAAATACGTCTTTGGGTTCCTCTATTCCTCCACCAAATGAGCACTGTCAGAGCAACAGGAGAGGAGGGAGATCCTGTGCATATTACTGGGGTGGGTGATGAGGATAGGGAAAGGAGGAAAGTCACTGATGGGAAGGACACACTATGTTGGTTGGTTGTCACTCTGAAGCTTCACTGGCGTCATCCACCATGAACCAACCTGACTTCAAGATCACTCCAACTTCTCTGTGCAATTTATATTCTCAACTAAAAACAGTGAGTGGGTCATGTTGGGGAATAATATTTTAAAGTGTGTTACTTTTGTTTCTATTGCATTTGTTTAACTCTGTGAAGCTGTTACTGTGCCTGTCTAAAACACCTGATGGTCTAATAAAGAACGGCCAATAGCGAGGCAGGAGAAAGAAATAGGCGGGGCTGGCAGGCAGAGAGGATAAAAGGAGACATCTGGAAGGAGAAAAAAGTATCCAGAGAAAGAGGAGGACGCCAGGGTCCAGCCACCCAGCCACCCAGCCACACAGCCAGCCATGGAGTAAGAGTAAGATTTACAGAAGTAAGAGAATGGGAAAAGTGTAGAGACAAAAGACAGACAGGATAATATAAGTTAAGGAAAGCTGGCTAGAAACAAGCCAAGCTAAGGCTGTGCATTCATAATTAGGAATAAGCCCGTGTGTGTGATTTATTTGGGAGCTGGGTGGCGGGGCCCCCAAAAGAGAACAAGCAACAGGGATGATATAAATTTGACATTCCTAGGTGTGATGGTGGATGGAATTGCCAAGATACCCAAACTACTCATCAAGCCTCTAATAACCTTCTGTCAGTGAGGTAATATGCAGGACAAAGAAACAAGATGCAGTCTGTGTCCTGGACCGGTGCTCTTGTCAGAAATACAGAATACCTGCATAAATGCTAACACATGACCACATGCACTCTTTTCCAAAAATTTACGAGAATAGGTTTCACAGCATCTTTAGGGAAGAAATATATTACTAAGTGAATCACTTATGTTCAGTGAGGAAATAAATATTGGTCTTGGCTTTGGAAAAGGACAATTTTAAAAATGTGTGCCACAGTAATCATGTCAGAGGGCAACACCCAGGAGCTCATCCTTTCTTTTCATCTTTATGTGGGTTCTGGGTATCACACTCAGATTGTCAAGGTTTGCTTAGCTGAGCCACCTCACTTGCCCTCGAGAGTTTTAAGTTATATATTCTAGGGCTTTAGGAAAACAGCATGAGGCATAAAAGCATGCTACTTGATCTTAAGTATGATTAAGATAAAGAAAACAATTACTTTGGCTAATTTTTGAGAACCATGGAGGGGGAAAATGGGAGATAACATTGGCAATGTAAGGCGAGGCAAGTAATATTTTCATACTGTTTAAATTCCCAAAATTCAAAGAGTACACCAGACTGGTAAAGGGTTCACCTTGGTCTACATAAATTCTTCACAATTTGTGTTTCAAAGAGATTACTGAAAGGGAAATTACTAAAAGTGTCACCTGTAAGCTTTTTCCTTGCTTATAAGAACCATATAGTCTTAGTTAGGAAATTTGGCAATAAAACTGTAAGGAAAAGGAGAACACATCACTGTGGTGCACTGTGGTGCATTTCTCCCCAGCCTCCTGTGCCAGCCATAGGTGTTTTCAGTCTACAGATGCAGCACTCGGTGCTTTTGAACATACCACAAGAGACACAGGGGAGTTTGAGGGACAGCACCAGTAGGAGAGAGAAAGTAAAGCTGTGCACTTCCATCACTCAGGGTGGTGTGGAGGCCATATTTCTCGCTCCCTCAAGGAGCACATAGATTTGCTTAAACTATTTCATCTTGCTGACCTGAGGGACAAGATGAATATATTCTTCCCATCTCATTACTAACAGTGATCCTTTACATGTTGAGGTAACGTGGGAGAAAAATTACCGTAATTCTATGCAAATTATTTAGCAGATTGAAAGCTAGCATTAGAAATGTAAGCCTTGAGGTGGATGCTATGGGACTCAGAACGTTTTCTGTTTGTAGTATTAATGAAGGTTTTTCATGAAAAGAAAAGGAAGGGACTTTCTAGTTGGCTTCTTGAAGCTTTTTGTGTTGGGACTCCAATCCTAAGGCTGAGAGGGTCTTTCTGTGGTTGTTTTAATGAGATTGGCATGCATAGGCTCCTATGTTTGAGTAATTGGTCCTCAGTTAGTAGAAGTGTTTGGGGAGGGTTGGGAGGTGTGGCTTGTTGGGGGAGGTGTGTCACTGGGGACTGGGGTTTCAGAAGCCCGAGTCATTGAGTTACCTGGATCTCTCTTCCCTGTGCTTATGGATCTGATGTAAACTCTTTACTGCCCCAGCACCATGTCTGCCTGCAGGTAACTAAGACACTATCCAAAGAAACCTTAACTTTTAGTTGGTGATATAAATATCTCTCATCACACGGCTCTTTGTAATGTTATTCTTATAAAATTATATGTTTGCCTCTACTACAAAAGGGAGGGAGACAATTGATAAATGGTCAATAGTCTTTTCTGTGACTTCCTTCAGCCAGGCTCATGGTCCTAAAAGTTCCATAATTTCCACAATGTCACCAACTGATGACTAAGTGTTCAAACACCTGAGCTAAAGCAGACATTCCTCATTCAAACCACCACAGATGGTTGGTGTTGATTGTCAGTGTCTTAGAATCTTGAATCACCTGGGAGATGTAGCTTGAGATATGCCTGTGGGGATTATATTGATTGCATTAATGAGGATGGAAAGACCCACCCATTGTGGATGGTACCATTTCCTGTGTGAGATACTGGACCCTTGTCAAGTGGAGAGAAGGTGCTGAGCAACAGTGTGCATTCATCACTCTGCTTCCTGATGGCAAACAGTGTGCATGCATCACTCTGCTTCCTGATGGCGGATGGGATGTGACCAGCTGCCTTCAGCCACAGCCTTCTTGGCTTCCCAGCTGTGGTGGACTACCTCCTTGAACTGTGGACCATAATAAACTCTCTCCCTTAAGTTGCTTTTGTCAGAGTATTTTATCATAGCAACAGGAAATGAAGCTAAGTCATGCAGCAAAAGAAACTTATTCTCTCACAGTTCCAGAAGCCAGAAGTCCAAATGCAGGGCTCCAAGCAGGACCAAACTCCCTCCTCAGGGTCTAGAGGAAACACCTTCATTGTCTCTTGGCTACTGGTAGGGCCTGGCTTGTGACAACAGAACTTTTCTGTCCTTACATGGATTCTCTGGG